ACAAAGCAAAGTCAAACACATTAGTTTAAAGGCCAGTGGCCTGCAGTGGAGCAGAAGAGAGAAAATGCTCACATTAGCCAAGCAATAGACTGCTGAAGGCAGCAACCAGTTTCCTTTCTTAGCTGCTGTCTGCCTGTGTGGTGCCTCTGTCTCTGTGCTCAGCCTCAGGGTGAGTTCCAGCAAGGTGCTTGGGCAAAGCCATCTGTCTGTTCGTGCAGGAGCTCTGCTGCCCACCAGCCAGCACCGCAAAGAATGCAAGAATGCAGCTTCCTAAACCACCTCTGACCCACAAGCCTTCCCACCACAACCTCATCTATCTACACAGAGTAAGCAAAGCGCTCCTCTGTAGGCACAAACCCTGCTGTGTTTCATCACTGCTTCCCACCAGGCACTGCTTTCCCATGGAAGTGTCACTGGGGGTGCCCAGACATACATCCACACCTGCAGCAAAGTGAGTTTGCACTGCCAGTCCGACCTGGAGGCTCCCCAGAGAGCAAATTCTCAGTAGATCCTGCTGCTGATTGACTTCTGACACCAGGTTCTGAACCCCTTCCCCATGACAAAATGCAGATAACCCGAAAAGCTGGCAAAAAAGGGAACCAAAGTACCCCAGAACTGAACTGCAGCACTGCTGTGATGCCTGGTGATTATGCTGCAAACACAAGGATTAAGATCACCATGTGATACAAAGACAACTTTAATACAAGCAAAGTCTGCTTTCCAAGCTTTATGCTGTCTTGCAACACCAAACAGGGACCCATCCATTTCCTTCAAGTGAGTTTTTGTCTCAGCTTTATGCAGTCCTCAGGCCAATGTACAGAAAAAATCTTACTGCTCCTCTGAAAACTCAGAGCAAGAGGAGGTACAATGATATCCATTAAAAAAAACAAAAACAAAAACCAAAAACAACAGAGAAAACAAAGTAAAAACTAAGGCATGATGATTATGATATGATGTTTTAGAGAATCAAAAAATTCCTCCTACCCCACAGAAGGCTGGCTTTTAGACCAGATCTGTGTTTAATACCAATATACTAGAAAAATTTTGCATATTCCACAGTTTTATAGGCTTCTTTGCTCGTCTACCTTTTCTACTTTCCCCTTTCCATTCCTCCCTAAGAATTTGCATGATGTTAAGATTAAAGAGCTTTTACAGAGCTCTATATTGAAGCAAGAAACCATGACTATTTTGAAATCATGAATATAAGGTCAAGTTATAGGAAAGGAAGGCGGATGAAAAAGGGGGGAAAAAAATGCACATGGGAATGTCACCCACAAAAAAGTCATTCAGCCAAGACTTCTTCAGAAGAAAAACCACAGCAAGCAGTAGGATAATAAATCAAAGAAACCTAGTAAGAAAAATCTATCTTTCAAATAAGACAGAGGGGCTTGCATCTGAAAGAGCACATGACAAGAATTCCCACTAACATGTGACAAACTCTTAAAATCCACATCTGGGAAAAAAAAACCAAAAAAAACCAAAAAAAAACCAAAAAAACCCCCAAACCCCACACTTACTTTTAGTAGCAGAATTCAAAAAAGGAACTTATTTATGTTTAGGGGAGTAACACTTCACCTGCACACACAAATTCACTAGGCTGATCACTACAACAAGAGGGCTGATCAGCATCTGCCCCTGCAAAATTGCAACACAAGAGAAGAACAAACTTTTGAGAAAGTTGTCACACACATACACAGAAGGGACCTTTAATGAAAAGCCCCATTGTTCAGGGTCTTGGGAACCTGCTGACATGGAGGGAAGGAATTATGTTGATGAGCTAGCTGCAGTGTTGTTACTTGTCTGGTAGATTGAGCCACAAAGATCAGGCTGAAAATGTCTTGCGGTATTCACTGAGCTCCCCTGAGGCCCTGCCACAAACTGAGAGCTGTGCAGCACAGCCCACCCCATTCCTTTTTGGCAACAATCTCACTGAATTACTGTGCCACTTTTGGTTACACTGTGCATTATCACAGTTGCAAACGGGAGAAGCACAGAAATAGGAAATCAAGAGGATACAAAGTCCCTGACAAGAGTTCTGTAGAACAACACTTGCCATTACCACCTCATAACGAAAATTCAGAACATGAGCTACAGCCACAAACAGGTCATCACAGTTTGATACACACTGAAACACTTTATGTGCAAAAAATAGAACATAATGAGAACCAAGTGCACTATCTTTGTCCCATGAAGGTAAATAAATCAGAGCAAATATACAATACAGAATGGAGAGAAAAGCTGCTCATTTGGAAAAAAGGAGCCCAAAACATTAGGATGGATGAGAAGAAAAATCTAGTCAGAGGCACAAAGGATTACTGACTTAGAAAAACTGTAGTGTCAAATTGATCAGACACATTTTTTCCAGTTGTAAATATTGTACATTTAGTTTCTCAGAGCTGGTTAGTTAGTTTTACAAAGTGCAAGGGAAGGAAAGCTGTAATAAAAAAGAAAACCCACAGCAACAATAACTGAAGTGTTGGCAGCTTTCACTGGTTTTAAAGAACAAAGTATAAACCCTGAGTATGTCAAAGCTACATATAGAAGCTTTGACACTCCTCTCCACTCCCTCATCAGTTAATTAACTGTGACAAGTTTGCTTAAAAGGTAGATAGTGTTGCATGCCTGGTACTTAACCAGGCAAAGCAGCTGAATTCGAGCTTCTCCTTAAAGCTTTTCTTGACTTTGAGGTACCACTCACTGGTAATACTCAACAACTGTGCAAAGCTACCAGACAGCCCTTCGACCTAACAGAACTATTAAAATCAGTTCTGTGTTTTAACCAGCTTGCTCTACTCAAAATATGCATGAGTAAAAAAAAACAAAACAAACCCGAAACCAACAGAAACCTACATTAACAATACTTAGTGCTGAATGTGATGAAGATGCAGTGATAAGCAATTACTTGCACTACTCAGAGAAAAAGATGATGTTTTTATCCTGTGCTAGGAGAAAACAGGAAGAATTTTGGCAAACATCTGGAGCCTGTATGCTGCTGTACACAACTTTGCTTGAAAATACTCAGGCTAGCTAATGAAGACTTACATAGTAGCATAGACCAGCAGAAGCCAAAGCATTCATTAATTAGGATTTAAACTCCTAATTTAGAAAAAAATATATATATATTTATATATATGGCCCACTCCAGTCTGTCATCTGAAAGTGTACCTCACTGCACTGCAACAAACTTTACCTTGATTTTAAAAAAAAACAAACCTGCATTTAAGGAGAATGCTTACAGATCCTTGTTGGCAGACTAAATCTACAAACTGTGTTGTGCAATGAGAACGAATTATGCTTCCTGCTTCTAGAAGGTCTAGCAAAAGAGTTGAGTTTATGACTGAATTCTAAAAAAGAGGCATTAAACCACTTAATCATGGTATGAAAGAGGAATCATAATAGATTATATATATGGCTTAATGATATACTTCAGCAAATTATGACAATCTCATCAAAGAGTTAGATATGGAGCAAAGAGACCAAAAGAATCAAGAACTCTTACAGTAAGTTCTTACAAATTATTCTCCATTAAGGGTACAAAACAAAGAAACTTTCCAAAGTTCTTCTTCCCCAGTAATAAAACCCCTTTTTTTCCCCCCAGTTCTATGAAGAGGCATTTTAAAACAAAATGCTCTGAAGCTTTCTTCTTGTCTTGTTGTCATAGTTGTGTTACATATGCCAGCACATGTCTACAAGATGCCACAGCACTTAACTGCACATAGTGATCCTGGGAGAGGGGATTTCTTGATATCCAAAATGAAACCATTTAATAATGCATAAGTTGTACTAGATGTTGGCAGCAAAAAGAAGTAAGAGAACAGTAACTGTTAGAAAGAAGAGCATCAAACCCTCTGAAATCGGGAAGAACATTTGAAAAACAGAACTAAAACTGGCACTGGCCTTCAGATATCTCCTTGGTACGGGACAACTAGATCCATAAAGTATCTGTTTGGATGAGAGACATCAGCCTGGTGCAGAACACCTCCTGTCCTCAGCCTTCTGCACAGCCACAGGGGCAGCAGGAAGCTGAATGCAGGGAACCTCACAGATTCTGCTTTCCCAGCTGCCAGTCAGAGCAAGAACCAGCAGACTCTAAAAGCTCCTGGCAGTGCAGCATCAGGCTCTGTCTCCTCTGGTGAAATGACTGCCTGCACAGATCCTTGTCTTTCCTTCTGGTGCCTCAGTCACTTCATTCCACCTTCACTTTACACTTCCCCTCTTCCTGTCTTCTTGTTCATTTGTCCTTTTGCTTCACTCTTCCACATCTGCTTATCCTTTCATTTCTGCTGTCAGTAAAACAAGGCTGCAATAAAAGATTACAATTACAATAACCTCCAGCAGGGTCCCTTTCAACCACGGCATCAGTGTCCAGCTTCAGGACTCCGCATCCAGCCTGGATTCAGAGAAAAGCCACAGCACTAAAAACTGACCATGATGCAGGTGCCCAGCTGCAGAACATCCCAACAGATGTACATCCCAATGGCATGTACAAGAGTTAAGTCTGGCTTACAAAGCTTGCACAGTCTCATTCTCCTCCTCTCACATTCCTTTATTAGAGCACAAGTTCCTCAAGTTCCAGATTTCTGGCTACCTGTTTTTCAGCCTGTGCAGTACAGTCAGGCCCCATTACTGCCAGATAACAACCATGAATGAGAATAATTCATTTGGCATGTGACAAACTCAGAAAATTGGCTTCTAGTTCCAGATAGCCAGGATATTTTTCTCTTAAAACAAAATCAATTGACTGCATGGTGCAGGAATCCAAGAGGTGAACAGTTTTGCCTGTCTGCCAGAAAAAGTAGAGATCATGGATTTTTCCCCAATTAAAAAAGTTACATTGTGAGTTTCATCTTCAGACTTTTAAAAATATCTTGTCTTTTTCTACTCAAGAGATTTGAGTGACGTGAGCAAGGACTCCACAACCTGATGAGAAAACAAGACAGTATTCACTTCTTCCAATAGCAGTGATTTCTTACAGTTTGAATGCAACAGTTCACCCTTACCTCAACTTTGCTTCCTGGATCATGCTCTGCAGCAGCAAAGTAGACCACCTCCTGTACCTCATCCCTAGGCCGTGCAGAGTTCTTTCCAAATACCACCAGCCCATCTTTAGAACACGGGGGGAAGGCTACAAAACAGTAACTTGGAGGAGCTGCAGCCATCCTAGAAAAGAAAGAAAGCATAAACAAACAAAATTCGTGGGTTTTTTATTCATAACTGCATACCTTAGAGAATCATTCAGTCTACTGGTACGAACTGTAGCTAAGAGGGAATTAAATCCCTCTGTCAATTGATTGCCCAGTGATAAGGGAAGAACAGGTCAGCTCAAAGGAAGCTTATCTGAATTAAATTTTAAAAATATAATCATTTTCATCATTTTTCACCCAAGCTTTGTGAAGGCATAGATAGGAAAAAAAGGCAAGAGAACTGTGCCTTGATGAGTCTGCTTAGTCCCAAGTAAAAGAAGATACTCTGCAGTGGAGCTGCTCTGGAATGTATGACCTAGATGTATTCTGCTGACTCAGACAAGTGCAGAGCCACAGAATCACTTTAAATAATTTACTCTCTCTGCTCGCCTGCACTTTAATATTTTTAAGAAGGAAAGATGAAAACATGTTTGAGGGATTCCTGAGAGGACAATAGTATGTCTGGAAACAGAACAACTGCACAATTACATCAAAAACTGTCAGTCAATTTATCTACTCAGATGGGAGTGACTGAAGCACTAATTGCACTTTATTTTCTCTGTGGTTTGTCTGCATTGCTGCTCTTACCTGAAGTTAATTGATTGCTATTTATTTGTTTATATAGGCTAATGTGAAATGTTTATAGGATAATTTTAAGTGTTTGCAAGGAAAATATATTAAAAAAAAAATGCAAACTGTTTCAGGACTATAGCAATAGAAACTCAGCTCCCAAATAAACAAACATGTTCCTCTTTGTCTTCCACAGTATCCTGAAGAAGTAAAAATACTTGCACACACCTGCACTCCTTAGAATCAACCAGCACATGAGCTCCCCCCAAGATTCATCTTCAAGACAGTGCTGAGCATAGGGGAGTGGGCAATGCTGGTTTTTTTCTTTAGATTGCACATGATTCAAACCATCTAAATTTGGCTCTTTTTTCTTTTTTTTAAAGCAGTGCCATTTGGGCACATACTTCTCACAGAATAGCAGACAATAAAACAGGAAGAATTCCTTTTGTATAAGGACTGTAATCCATAAAATGATATTTGTTTGCCTGTGGACTATGAACAGGTCACACAGATGTTCAACCTTGCAAAAAAAAGGTCAAGTAGATACAGGTTAGAAGTGCCCTCTACCCAGGTTAGAAGTGCCCTCTACCAACACAATGTGACACAATGAATTGTCCAGGGAACTCACACAATCTTTCCATTTAGGTAAAATTATATTCATCCACTTGGGCTGAAAATGCATTAGGAAAGAAATAAATCCTTTTTCATAAGCAGAGTTTTGACCAGTGGGAAAGGACAAGCTACTCTGAGCTGGAATTACTTCAGCTGATAAAACACATCTGGTCAGAGGACACTGGGCTGCAGACCTGCCTCTTGTGCCTCTAAATCTGGGACATTGCTGGTCCTGCATGAGTGTCTGGCACACAGACACGATAAAAATCCCCACTTCAGCTGCTGCTCATCGCCTGCGAGCCATCAGAGGATTTGTGGTTTAGCTGAACCACGGTGTGTAGGTAGAGGATTGCCCAACCCTCTTCGCTAATGAAACCATTCAGTACTTTGCTATGAATTATTACTGTATTAAGCCTGTATATTACTGTGTGGGTGATGTCAATGGAACTCCTTTCCAGCACTCCAAGAGCTCCCATCTGCCTTCAGGTAACTCATCTTTTAGTGTGCCAAATTTGTCTTCTGATACATTGCCAGATGAGACAAAATCTTGAATAACTTGCAGACTTTCTGAGGATCTCGCTATCCAAAAAAAGTATTTCCTTTATTCTAAACACCAAGCAGATTTTTTTGAAATACATGACACAGCTGGAAAACATTAGGTATCCAAGAGCCTAGCAAGAAAGGTTAAAATTACATACAATATTAATTTTTATTAAATTCATACCTAAACATATTGGCAGGTAGGCTTAAAAAGATGGGAAATGTTTCAGCACTCTGTTACTGAACAAATATAAAGGTATGCAAGGCAGACATTTACAGACCTACAGTCTGAGTAGATAAGGAAAAGAATTAAAAGCATGTACGTACCTAATGCCCTTCAGAATTCTGAAATCACCCTGAAATAGTCTCAACTGTATGTGTGAGATTTATTTTTTCCTCCCCTTAAATATACCAACAGTTACTGAACCTAAAGCAAATTGCCATTTTGGTAATGCTTTTTAAGCACGAAAGTATGAGTAAGCTCCTCTATAACTAGAGCTCCCTTCAACACACAGCATATTTCATAAGTATGAGCAAGCTACCCAGTAACTAGAGGTCATTTCAACACAGTGCATCTCATACAGGCAAGCATGTAACAGTCAAACACTGTGTCAAATGTGTTAACCTTATCCTGAAAACATCACTGTCAATGGAGGAGTTTGCACTAGGACCTCAGATGACATTTTAGAGAAGGAAGCCATCTAGCAGTCTACTTCATTGTGAAACTACTCAGTTTGCTAGGTAGCACTTTTTCCCTGAACCTCATCTGGTTCATTTTGAATATGACGAGGATAGCCATTTCTCAGATATACCCACGACCTCTATTTGTTCAGAACTCCAGGGTACTTTACCTTCCTCCATCACGTAGCTAAAACAGATGAACAGCCACCTATCTAAGCAGGACATTTCTATTTGCCTACTTCATGTTCCTCTTTTCTTTATTCAGCTTCAGGCTGTCCTCATGCTCATTTTTTCACATATTTGCCACCTCTCCCATCTTACACAGTTCAATACCAAAACACCTTTCACCCACAGGAGGAAAAGAACAGTCCTTCATAGTACCTCTGATAAATCAGCCTGACTTATAAAACCACCTACTGTTATAATTCCTACTCTTTTTTTTTCCACAGAGTTTGCTCCTCTAGTGAAAGGTAATCCTGAAAACATTAGAAAACACAGGGAATGACTGCAAATAGATCTCAAAGAACAGCTTGCTGCCCGTTCACACAGGTCTTTACCACAGAGCATGTTAAACATGCTGGCCTGATTTTCTCGGCAGACCATACCTCAGACCCACATTCTGGTGCAGACAGAGGTAAAGCTACACCATATGTCTCAGTTACAAACCATTACACTCATAAATGGGCCACTGGAAGTTCAGAGAAATGGGGACTGTACAGATCATTATGGGCTATATCCAATATCACTCTGCATATGGAAGCCCTGGAAATAGACAAAGAGCTGTACATTATGCTATGCCACTATATAATAACTGCTGCACTTGCAGGGAGTTAACAGGCATCATGCTTGGATGACCTCAAATCACTGCAGGCACAAAGGTTGTAAAAAGAGTTCTGAGCAGCAGCCACAAGCTAATATACTCTGCTTGCTATCTTTTTATTTGACAAAAACATGCTACAGCAGGGATGCCATATTCCACCTGGTCATATTTTTTTTCCAGTCTCCTGTGTTCTGACACTATAAAGAAGACTTACTTAACAAGTTCCTTTATTAAGATCTTTTCTCATCGTGATAAGTCCCATTTAACACCTGACAAGCCAAATTAATTGTATGAATATATCACCACTACTGTCAGTGGTAAAACAGACAGCACTGAGTTCATAAGTATTTTAATGCAGAGAGAAAGGAGTAACAACCATTGGGTGGATTCTTTTATAGACTCAAAACAGTTGGAAAATACCTCCATGACCATCGAGTCCAGCCTTTGAGCAAACACTATCACATCAACTAAATCACATCACTGAGTGCCATATCCAGGGGTTTCTCAAACACCTCCAGGGATGGTGACTCCATAGCCTCCTTGGGCAGCCTATTCCAACCCTTAATCAACCTTTCAGTGAAGAAATTCCTCCTGAGGTCCAACCTGAGCCTCCCCTGGCACAGCTTGAGGCCATATCCTCTTCTCCTGTCACCAGTTGCAGGAGAACAGGCTGATCCCCACCTGGCTACAGCCTCCTCTCAGGCAGCTGTAGGGAGCAGTAAGGTCCCCCCTGAGCCTCCTCTCCTCCAGGCTGAACAGCCACAGCTCCCTCAGCTGCTCCTCGTAGGACTCACTCTTCACAGCTTTGTTGGTCTTCTCCAGAGAAGCCAAATGTCTGGCTCCAAATATCACAAACAACAGGTACAACAATTATCAGGGCTTTCTAAACGTGTCTGAACATCACTGTGCTCCTGAAATAGGGTGAGCACATGGGTGTGTTATTGCCTAGCACCACCTCAAGAAAACTAACCCATAAATCTTGATAAACAGAAAACATCATAAAACTTCCAGGTGGAAAATACCAAAACCTGAAACATTTTACTCTGGAATATTTTTCATTTCACAGCATGAGGATCTTACACATATTAAAAAAGCTCACAAAGTACAATTAGAACAACTTGCATTATTGGAGTAAATACCTATCCACAATCAGAAATTTAAAGTGCTCAACACAGAATAAAATTGCTACTAAATCTGTATATACAGGTTGGGACAATCTAATGGAAACTTCATTTAGATGTCATTCTTCACTTACAAAAAATGAGCAGACAAATAATGCTGGAAGAGAGATTAACACATGGAATAGAGATTGCAGTATCCCATCCTCCACCTCATGAACATGAGTGTCAGAACCTCGCTCTTAAGAAAACAGAGACAGGCATAAATAATTCAGTGTGCTTTAGAGACTTCCTTCCCCCCCAGCCCAAGAAAACTGAGAAAGCTATGCATCCACAACAAAGCACTCCCAGCTTAGCATGATAGAGTCCAAATTAAAGAAAAGATTTTCATAGTAACTCATTCTAGATTCCTTGGGGTTTTATTCTGTTATTTTTCCAGAATAACACTGTGTACTTCTCTGAAAGCTGTAATTTGGTACTGCAATAATCTTTTATAAAGCTAAAGAATCTTACTGCTACAATAAAACTACTTCTCAGAAAAATAACTTTATCATCCCACATCAAATAGATGTTGACTTTTAAAGTCAACTAATTTTCCATTTGCCAAAATAACCAGAAGACATTAAGCACAAAGTAATTACTAGTTTCACAAAACTA